AACAGTTCTTGATTTGCTTTCCAAAAGTTCGGTTTTCACTTTACAGCTCCAGAGAATCGTAGTGTTGTTGACCAGAAGGCTTATTTTGTCGCTTTAAAGACTTTGATGTCCATTGTTTGCTAAGCAGACTTAGATGATGATCGGTAAGATTAAATGTGGGGCAACCTGTTCCAAAGGTCCAGACCGCACTCAGAAGACATGCCAACTGAAGGAAAGCCGCCGTGTAAAATCTTAACAACGAAGATAAAGGAATAACTAGATTAAAAAAAGACTGACAACGTGATACATGCACCCATGAATACGAAATGGCCGCGTTCTGAGGCTCAGGTTACTACTTGAACCTATCCTCGACGATGCTAGTGACTGGGGACGAGGCACGGTAAAACACGTTGCAAGCACTCTGTATCTTTGGCCATGACATAGAAAGGTTTTTGGTAAGCCACACAATAAAAATGCCTACCACTTGTCCACTAACTCATAGGTGTGCAGCTGATATCACAAGCTGATTAAATGGTGTTCATCCCACAGTGGCGGAGAGTCAAGTTATCACGCAGGTCTGCTTTCACTGGTCTTTAAACTGTTGTAACTTGTCAAGTGAGAAACTGTGGCTCTTATAATGTAGCCTGCGTTGCTGGCGGTCTGCGATTTTGGTGGCGGAGATGAATTTTTCTCTCCGCCCCCAAAATCGCAGACTACTTAGAATGCATAACACTCCTCTGCTGTACGGGTGTGTAACTCCCGCTACTGCGGCACGGAATAACTGCCTCTTCCTCTGAAGCAAAGCGCCAACGCAATTTTATGGTAAGAGCTATAATTATAGATTTATTGTCGATGGAAAGGAAAATTACTGAACGGGTAACATCGTGGAAAAACATTCATCCCGTATGAATTAAGGATGATATCGTCACTTAATGATGGCTTGTAAATTCGGCACTAAGTGTCCTTATTCGAAGGATCTTAAGCTTGTTAGTTTAAACTTCTTTCAAAATGAACGAATCATCTTATTATGCAACAGATAATTAAACTCTTCATACTAAGAGAGGATTACTTCCATCTTTGCTTTGATTAAGCGAAATTTTAAAAGCTTAAAACAAATGTTCAAAAGAATCTTAAATATGAACAAAAATTGATTGAACGAATCTTTTTTTTTTTTCTCGCGGGTAAAAGAAATTTAAGTTCCTTTCAACAACTCCCCTTTTGGCATTTAATTGAAAGCTTCCGCCAACTTCGATAAATACTGCTTCGTCACACTTGAATGAACACGCTAAACTCAAACTCTCTTCGCTTATGAAAACTGATTAAAACTTCGCTCGGATTCGCCTACTTTCATACTTACACACTGAAATTCTAGAACTTTCTAAATAGTCTAATTATAGAAAGATTACAAAATATACCGCTTTACGAAACGCTTACACAGTACACTAAAATAAACAAACTACGACATCTCGCGAAGCTTCTAGAAGGTCATGCTGTCACGCGCTATAATTTTTCGTAACAACCATGCAGAATTTCTGCAGCCCTGGACGTAATAACATGTCGAATAAAATTGAAATAAAAAGGTTAAACATACTAAGGGATAAAAGCAAAGTCTACATCTTTTCATTCTTAATAGTGCAGAGCATTAAGTGCACTTTGGCCAGAGTTATCAACCAACGCAGTTAAGAATTAAATACTTGTATAAATAAAGCGCACCTACATTTGAATTTCCGTTTAATTATACAAAGTATTGCTCTTTTGAAGCAAAACGTTTTCTTAATCCGTGAAACCTGACGCATTTGCTTTCATTGCATAGGAGAAATTTCCGTGTTTTCTGCCTAAATATTGCAGCTTTGAAGACAATATTTTAATGTGTCTGGAAAAAAGCGCGATATTTTTCGCAATCGAGATCAAAAAAAATCCCTACAAGGTCCCTTTTCCACGGTAAATGCTATTTTGGAAAACACAAAATAGTTTGGAAAGCGTTATAGATTGACAAAAAACTTCTCAAAACAATTTTGAAAGTTCGCGCTTGAGCCCAAACATTTAATGCCATCGTAACAACATTAAATGTTATAATATTGGCAACTAAACTCTCACTATTTGCTGCTCTGAAGACAACATTTCACTGTGTCTGGAAAAAAGCACGATATTTTGCGGAATCAACTTCAAAGAAATTCCCAACAAGTTCCATTTTCCACGGTTAATGCTATTTTGGAAAATACAGATTAGTATGGAAAGATTGACATAAAACTTATTCTAATAATTTTGAAAGTTCACGCTTGAGCCTGAACATTTAATGCCATCGTAACAACATTAAATGTTATAATATTGGCAACTAAACTCTCACCATTGCTGCTTTGAAGAAAGCATTTCACTGTGTCTGGAAAAAAAAAGCACGATATTTTGCGGAATCAATTTGAAAAGAATCCCTACAAGTTTCATTTTCCACGGTAAATGCTAATTTGGAAAATACAGATTAGTATGGAAAGATTGACATAAAACTTGTTCAAATAATTTTGAAAGTTCACGCTTGAGCCTGAACATTTAATGCCATCGTAAAAACATTGCATATCACAATGTTTCAACTGAACTCTCACTACTCTGAAGAAAAGAACCCAAGATGTACACGGGTTTGAAATGAAGATGCCTAGTTACAATACTCTCCAGGTTTACATTGTTATGTTACAAAGATAAAAGACAGGTTTGCGACTAAAAGAAATAGACTATCTTTAATATTGAGGAATAAACAGGAACGTAAACTTGTTAACAGTGGGATTTCATCGATTGGCTGTCGTGATCGTACACATAGTTTCAAAACGACAAATATTAACAACGGCGTCCTTTTAAGGTAGTTTTGAAATCCTCCCTAAAAACTTCGTGATAAGCGTGTAGCATCTTCGACTGATGAAATCATGATCACGATCCATATTAAATATTAATGTCCTCAATGCATCGTGATCGTTAATGATTTTGAGAAGGTAATTTTTGGTCACGGGTGTAAAGTAGATAAATTATTTTTGAAAAATGTAGGTTTTACCCTCTTTATTTTGTAAAGAGGCTACTAAGTACTGGATCGCATAATGTTAGTACGAGTTGTATGTGATGTTTGACGCAAGGCGTAATTCTTATCTCCAGCAAATCATGATCTATTGATTGAGAGCACTTGATTTTAACAGAGGTTTGACCTGTTTAAGCTTGACAGCCCCTTAGAGCTGATAATCAATTGTTTGTGAAGTTACTAAGTGCGGGGGTTATGGAAAATATTTGCGTGTTCATTGTGTGATCACTCCTCACAAGAATTCCTGCTATCATTAATATATGAAAAGAAGGAGTTTTTTCTTTTGTTTCGTTTTGAGAGTTATTGGGACCTATAAGCACAACATTAAACTGAAGCGTCTTTCTACTTGTCATGACATGTAGAAATTTATTCAAAGTATCCGAGATAAGAAAGATAACACCATGAATCTCGAGAATTACTCAGGAACGTGAATATATTTGGAGATTCAAATATTCTTAACACCTTCAAACACCTTAGAATGCAACTTTTAAACGCATGCGGCCGTGACGGATGTGGTATTTGTAGAAAGGAAGAAGAAAAGGAAAATGTATTAAGTTACAGTACTTTTGTATTTTTTTTTCTTATCAAAAACATGATCGCTTTTAAAATCGAAGTTGTCTTCATGTGCAAAGCAGTTCTTGATTTTGGATGATGTCGCAAACATGCATTTATTGTTACCTTCCAATATTAAAAAAAAAAAAAAACAAGAAAAAAAAACTAAATTTAATTAAAGAAGTTCGGGGTTCTTTTCATTCATATTTTAAGAATGCAGGACGCCTTTTTGACGCTAATAAATGCATGCGTTGCCAAACAGTGTGATTCCATTTTGTTATTTTCTCTGCCATACGAAATGCGTGCGTTTCATTTCATCATATAAAGATTCCTCTAACGTTGTTTTCATCTTAATGCTGATGAAAATTCCAGGAAAATAATCTGAGTTTTATTAATCCCCAAGTTACGCTCTAGACACTCAATCCATTTCCAAAATTTGCTTTCTTTGATAGATTCTAACTTATTAAAGGCTGTTGTAATAATATTTTTATTCTCAATGACAAACAGGAACATGAAATTAATTATTAAGAGCATGAGATACATTGACTATTGTTGCAGTAACCACAGTTACAAGAAACAAGTGTTGATAACAGCATCGTTTTCAGAGGGTTCATCACAGACAAACAGGAACATGAAATTAATTATTAAGAGCATGATAGATATTGACTATTATGACAGCAACAACTGTTACAAGAAACAATTGCCGATGACAGTATCGTTTTTAGAGGGTTTTTATTTCTCTTAAAAACTCTGGAGGAAGCGTGTTACATACTATTAAAGGTAAGCCAGTTTCCTTTGACGTTAGCAAGTTAAAAAACTGAGAATGAAACATCTCATTTTTAAATGATTATTTGGATATAGTATGATACTTATTCCTTTCGGGGAAAAAAAAATTAGAAAATCATTTTCCGAAGAAACTAAGATGAGATGATTCCCCTCTCCGGAGGTCAGCGAAACTGCAGTCCTTGCAGCTATGTCATCGAATAAGATGTTGAAATTCCTAAAATTTCGTTAATTTTCTAACTAAAAAAGAAAGGATCTTTTAAGTTTTAAAAGATCCTTTACGACCTGAGCCTTTTACCACATTTTTCAATTAATTTTTTCAAAGAGGATATGTCCATATGATAGTTAGAATGGTGAAATAAGGAGTTGCATCATTAAAAAGTGATCTCTTGTCACGGAAACAATTGGGCGAGGAAAATATTAAAAGAGGCCTTCAGTTATTTTAATTAAATCTAATCAGTTGCACGTTTCTTATTGCTAAGATAGATTCGATTCAGAATTGATTCCAACGTAGCTTCATGTTTGTTTGTCTGTCTGTCTATCTACTGTCATGACTTTTTGACTGGCGGTTGGCTAAGTAATCTACACTTTCCAATTTCAGCATCAGTGGTTATGGCATGGAATCCAAGCTTTCCAATCCTCCTGGCCTTTTTGTATCTCATGGACTTCGCTACGGCTAAAAATCTATGCAAGACAGAAGTTAGCGTACCTGGTATGGCTCTCAAAGGATATATCTTTAAGAAGTTCCCAGTGACAGCTCCTCATGTGTGCGTTATCACCTGCGAGAGGGAAAAGATATGTCAAAGCTACAATTACGTTCTTGGGGAAAAGTCCTGTGAATTGAATACCCGAACCATGGAAGCAAGGCCCGAGAATTTCCAGCCAGATGGTTCACGCTTTTACATGAGACGCTTTAAGGGTAGAAGTATGTATCCAGTCTAGTTTATTTTGCATACGAATCTTTCTCAATGAGTTCTTGGCAAAAACCCGCCACTTTCCAAGAGTAAGTGTCTGTTGCTTTTTTATTAAATAGGGCCAGTGTCTTAAAAAGGAAATTCGCCCTCTATACTACATTAATATAAGCTAAAATTCACAGATCTTAATTATTATTATTCCATTTTTATCTTGCCCGGATAAATATATTTTCCACTCTTATCTGTTTTGCAACTTCTATTACCCTTATTATTAATGAAGTCATGTCTATATCGTAGCCCCCTTAGGATCTATTCCTGAATTACCAGCGTCATCGTGCCAAGAGATAAAATTAAGTGAAGGTAAAGACAGCATCAGTAAAAAGTACTGGTTGGATCCAGCTAATGTCGGGAGTTCAAAGTTGGTTTATTGCGACATGAGCTTGGGAGGTAAGTTAGTATACCACGAACAGAATTACTTTACACAGTGTTGGGTCTACCTTTGCACTTGCCTTTTGTGAAATGTTTTCATCTTGTCTCTGTGTTTTCTTTCCGTTAACATCCAATTAGACATCGATGAATGCAAAAGCAGCAATGATGTTTGTGACAAAAATGCAAACTGCTCCAATAGTGTTGGATTTTATAATTGCACCTGCAAAGAAGGATTTACTGGGGATGGACATTCGTGCTCAGGTAAAATAGTTACAGACATGCCGAGGCACAATATTTAATTCTTTCTCGCCTAAAAACACCAGAGGTATATTTAAGCTATTTACGATCGAGTGAGTGAATAATAGACCAATAATAGCTTGCATTCTATATCAGTGGACCCTTAGCATTAAACAAAGCAATTTTAGCAGGAACAAATTGTTAGATGCAAAAACGATAAAGTACAATCTACGGTTTCTCAGATATTGATGAGTGTAGAGGAAATCACTCCTGTCACGTAAATGCCACATGCAAAAACACCCTTGGATCACATGTATGTGAATGTCACCCTGGATATTCTGGAAATGGACAAAACTGCTCAAGTGAATTTTATATCTTTGTAACAATATTTATAATAGTCCTGCATGACACGTGCGAATACAGCGCCGCATCATTCAGCCGCGTTAACTCATAACTCGTTTTAATTTATATAAGCAACCGTTTCTCCTGTTAACGACCTTTCAGGTAATGTTCCCAACTTTTGAACGAACAATTTTAGTGACTGATACATTGTTATTCTGCTTCTGTTTTACAACAATGATTGAAAACAACACGAGAATAAAATCGCTCGTTCGGCTCTGAACCCTGTGCACAGGATAAATATGTAAGTGGTTTTCCATAGCGCTACGTTTTCGTTCACGCTTAAGATATATTTGAGGGGAGAAGTTGAAATTTATTATCATCAAGTTTTATAAAAGAATCAAGATAATACGAGCACCCTGATTGGTTAAAAAAACAATCGTTAATTGCACCAGCAAACCCATGGAAAATGGAAGTTTGTGTTTTTGACAATTGGAGCAAGCCTTATGCCGTTTAAATTAACGAATGCCATCTGAATGAATCTTGCACTATTACCCAGGGCTCATACAACTGTTCTTGCAATCCAACAATTTATATTGTCTTTGTCAAGTAGAATGTGTAGCAATAAATTGCTTCGAGTTGACTTTCATCCAACATTCACACCTAGAAGGCATAATTTTTCGCTCTCTTACGCACAAAATCGAATCAGTTTATTATTATTATTATTATCATTATATCTTAAATGATTTAAAAAGAAACTTACGCAGACATGACACTCTCCGTGGAACTAGAAAAACCCTTTAAGAATCTCTTACCTAAAAGATTTCCACATATCATTAGTTACGATCAATACAATTTATATGACTTATGCAAGGCAATACGCGTTATGATTATAAATTATTGGATATTGGTAACAGGCAGAGACTTATTACACAGTAGTGGGAAATATTTGTGTTGCTGTTATTAGAATCGGTTTCTCGGAGCTGAGGAGCAAAAGTGTCTTAAACGCGTTTGGTATCATCCAATTGAGGTACAAACAACTCAGGCTTTGATGGGCGATTAAATAAAGAGGACACATAATTCTTTATAATGCTTTTATTTCGTTTTAGTTCCTATGTTCAACATCATTGTCCAACGCAAATTCTTCTTTAAAATCTATTTAATTCATAGTTGTTCTTGTAAAAGTCCTATCGGGTTGTTGTGAAACTGATTGACTGGAAAAATGTCAACAAAAAGAATGTTATCTTTGATACTACGATCTTTTCGTGATGTTGATTAAATTCAACAGTCGACCCACGTTATAGTTATCAAAACCTGGGTGATGCCAATACAAAGAGCAGTTGCTCTTACTCCCCTACGGAAGATAAAGTTTTGTGTGGGAGCTGCAGGAACAAGCTAGTTGTTTCAGAGCCGTCAGCTTGATAAATTAAAACATTCGTGATTAAATGTTTGAAATATCTAATTCGCGAAACACAAAAAAGAATAAATTTATTATTATTAAATTAAATTTATTATTTATAGTTATCAAAATTAAACGACTGAGGGTCCGCCCACATTAAAGTGATGAACATGATGAAGTGCAAATATATATATGGTTTCTAAGATATTGACGAATGTAAAGGGAATCACTCTTGTCAAGTAAATGCACCTTGCACAAATACCGACGGACCCTATGTTTTTGAATGCCACCCTGGATTTAAAGGAAATGACCCACCCTACGCAGATGAATTTAATCTCTTTGCTATAATATTTAGAACATTCCTGCTCGAATCTAACATCAAGCTGAGGTGGCCACTGACGGCCATATTATTAGTTTGTCGTATGCAAACGTTACTCTTGTGCCTTAAGTCTGCCTAAAGCTGTCCTTTATTGCGCTGACTGAGAAAGAAGGAGCCCAGATTCGGATCTTGCTAAATTCGTTTGGATCTCCAATATCACTGTTTTGGCCTCTTCGAGTGATGATATCCTACACATGTACTACTTGACCCCTGAATCAACGCATAGTCATTTTTCTACAAATTTCACCACTGATTGGTAAGCTGCCAGAATTATATGATGTTAGGGAAAACCTTGAAACATTGATTTTAATAATCTCAGTCCTTTTGCAATTGTCAGTTCACTTTGTAGCCGATCCTTGCTATTATTATAAAAACCTGAGCGATGCCAATAGAAGGTAAGTTACGTAACACCTTGCGATTTAGAGTTGTGTGACAATGGACTTCATAGTTCTTTTTTTTTTCGGAAAATTCAAGTGCCGTCTGCTTTTTTTGAGCTGATTCTCTAAAAGATGTCAAAGAAAAATGTTTACTTTTGATTCTTCAACATTTTTAAAATTTATCTTTAATATTTTTCAGCCGACCCATGCTATCATTATCAAAGCCTGAGTGATGCCAACAGAAAGAGCAGTTACATAACACCCCAGTACCAAGAGGTGTGTGATGACCAAATCCCTGTGGAATGGTATCGTTTTGTGGGAGCTTCAGGAACAAAAATGCCAACAGTACGTGTGCCAGCATACAGATGTGGTACAGACTGGCCAGGCTGGTTGAATGGTGCTCATCCCACAGTGGAAGATGGTGTAGTTGACAGGTCGGTCTGCTTTAGTGATCGCTCTACTGGTTGCAAATACTCAAAAACTATTGTCGTAAAAAACTGTGGATCCTACTTCATCTATAAACTTTTTCACTCACCTGGTTGTAACTCACGCTACTGTAGTACAGACTGAATATGAAGCAAATATATCTAGCGTAGAAGAGGACTCATAAATCGCTCCGTAGGTACATGTGTATAAGGTTTTTGACATTTGACGTAGCTAACCTTTCTTCTCTATCGAGAAAATTATCAAAAGATTTAAACTTTGGTGGCAGGCAGGTATTTATTTCATTACAATGATAATTCTCGTCAGATAGCCTCTGTCATCAAAGACAGTCGAAGGATCTTCAACGTAATCTTCAAGGTAATCTCTCAAGCTGATGGTTTTCGAGCCTTTTAATTGTGTATTTTGTAATTGTAATCCTAATTGTAATTGTGTATTTTTTTTAGTTTATCTCTTTTTTAATCCTTCTTTAGCTGTAATTAGTAACCGTGGTTATTTTAGCGCAGGTCGGCGGAATACAACCAGGCGCTATCTTACGATATCAGCGTAGAAAAAAAAGGAAAGACAGCCAAAATCTGGTGTCCCATGAAATTAGTTAAAGTCAACGTAATAAATTCAGTATTTTGTGACTCAGTATTTTGGAACTTTAAACCAATTTCTAGACACATAGTAAGCAAAATTCAATGGTTCAGCCTGTCGTAAACGAGTGTCAAATGTGTCCAAATCGACCAGGATTCATTCGTGGTGGATCTCTCACATCTCAGACTGATTTTGAATCCAAGTTCAAGCTCTTTACGCATTGGCTTCAAATTTTTCCTACACAGTTTATTTAGTTATGCGCGCAGGCACTTTTTTCATTCAAGATGAAATAAGTTGTATAAGTAATCAGGCGTTTCGAGTGCAATTTGGGAGAAATCAGTACGAGTAAATTTTCCAATGCTAATCAAATTACATAAGCCCGTAGGGCGAATGCAACTTACATGTGTATGATTACGTTTAATAACTGCATGTGGCTTTTAAAAGTTGACCTTCTTTTCTAAGTTTAATGTTTACCTACAACAGAAACACGCAAAAAGAAAAATACGCGAAGCTGCGATGTGCTAAAACTAAGACTAAGAGTAGTATAGGCAAGTTTTTACGTGTTGTAAACAACTTTGTACACCGTTAAAGCACATCACCAACAATTTTCACAGAAATGTTCAGTTTGAAATCAAAAACCACAGTTTCTCGCTGTGGAATTTTCTTTGTTTTATTCTGCAAAAATATTCAAAGGATCCTATGAAAAATAATAAGGGCAGGAAAGAAATCCACAATATGGCAGATATGATATTTCTTTTCTAAGAAAAGTCCTCGAATCATTTGATGTTGATTTGTCTAAAATTTTAAAGAAGAGACCTGAGCACAAAGCAAATGGGGCAAAGCGAGGCGAGTTTATTAACAACGTATCAAAATAAAGAAAAATCGTTGGTGGTCTTTTCAAAGGGAAGTGATATGAGCTGGGTCACTTTGTGGCTCAGCTTCTTGAGTGTATAAGTAGAAGCTAAAAGTATCGTGTATTTTATCTCAGTATTTAACAAAAACTGCGTATCTCTTTGTAAATAGATTTAACTTGCATGGACTATTTTCAGCTAAGTTTCATAACATGAACACGAGAGTAAATGTTATGGGCTGTGCAATCCATTGGCCAGTGTAGGTTCTCGATACCATTCATCTGATGAAAGGTCTTGTGAAACACTCTTCAAATTCACTTGATAGGAATCGCGAAAGAGTAGCTTTCACCATTTTTTGACGGACTTACTATAAATAGCCAGGAAAAATAACAACAACTAAAAGGAAATGTTCGGGTAAATGCATGAAACCAGCACCCAGAGAAATTAAATTAGAGCATCTTGATTAAATTGCAAGTAATTTTCACAAGTAATGTTAGAATTCAATTGTCAATCATTATTAAATAAACAGAAATTAAAAAAAAAACTTGCAAAAAGGCATCTCTCGTTGTTTCTACCTTTTTTAGTGCTCAGAGATGTGCATTAATTTGCTATCCACAGAGGGGGTGGGGGGGGGGAGTTTCTTAACAAAAGAACAATAGGAGAAATTATTGTTATCTTTAGGAGCTAAGAATAGGATACCTCTTGAATTTTTGTGCGTAAAATGCTTTAAGAAAAATTCATATTCATAATCCGCTAGTGAATGAGGTTACTAATAAAAAGTGCAAACGCACTGGGCGGTTAACTTCGCACGGTTGGCATATTTTTTCCATATCTGGAAACAGTCGGAACTGTTGCTGAATAAAGACTGGTAATGAAACCACGATCGGGAATTTTGCCATCGTCTTCCATTGCTGGATTGCATTATTCATCCTGTCGATGTCATCTGTTTGGTAGAAGGAAGTGAATAACGTTTTTGTACACCACTAAAGTGAGTGCAAATGCTGGCGTTACTCTAAAAAAAAAAGTCAAACAAACAAAATACAGTAAAACCAACAATGAACACGCTCACAGAGGCTGCGGTTTCTGGATATCTTCTATAGCGCTCCTTAGCTGGATTTCCGAAATTCGAGAAAAAAAAAAAAACGGGGAAAACTGCTCCTTCGGGCCTAAGATTTTGAAGAGAATCCTCCGTGAGAGGAGACCAGAAAAGAAGAAAATACCTATTTCATGAAAATGTGGATTTGATCACTTAGCCGTAAATGTAAGTCGATCCAAAAACTGGATCCGGTCCTCAAACAAGCTGGACTCAGTTCTCCGCCAATTTCGGTCCAGTTCTCTGTCAAATTGTTTCAATCGGGCAATAAATGTACCTCCATTCAATGTAGATAGATTTGAAACTAGAGATAGAAAGCTAGTCTGTAATGCATTAAATAAGAGTTAAGTTATCATATCAAGTTTCAATTGACCTGAAAATTTTACTAATCTCATCTAAGGCGCCTTTGTATTCCACCATCATGTACTGATTCTTTAGAAAAGTGAAATTAGTGAATAATAAATAACAAAAGGAAACAGTAAGAATAGAACGATTCTCCGAAAAAAAATAACTCGCGTAGAGACAACCCCAGATATATTCAGTTGGTTTTGGCCAATTTTATGGGCACAGGATCAAAACTTTGGCGCCGTGCGTTCCCGTAGCCATCTTGGATCCGTGTTTCTTGGGAGGAATAGAAAGAGTGAAAGAGGGTGAAAGCTACTCTCCGTCCATGAGATTTGATATTCATCCCTATTGTAGGCTTCCCCTGGCCTTTTGTTGGTGTCTATTTGAACTCCTGGGAGGGGGGTTATTTGTGGCTAACAAGTCTTTCCCTAGGGAAACCAACGCAATGACTTGGCTGGGGTTCGAGGCTCGAGTACAGGCCACATCAACCCGGAGTCCAGCAAACCAACCGATGAGACCGCTGCATCACCAGGATGAAAACTTCAAAAAGCTTAAACTACAAGTTTATTTCAAGCTAATAGCATATAAACGTAAAACAAAATCTATTTCATAAAGTTAATGCTTTGCTTATGAATCTCCCATTCTAACCTGAAGTCTTGCTCTAACCACTTGATAAGGATATGTCGCTCTTTCCGCGAAAATTTCGACAGTGAAGCCATTACAAGGTACTCAGTTGAACTCTAAAAAGAAAAGGAAAATTGGCAAAAATAAAATTCAGGAACAAACTCTTCATATGAAAAATGCTTTAATATCTTTTCAGCATTTCAGAGTGATTTCCAAGATGACTCACGATTACATAATAAAACCACATGTAAAACGAATAAAAAAGGTTGTCGTTTGGGCGTCAGCTTTGGCTTCAAAATGCTGAAGCTCGTCATAGAGGGTGACTACCCACTTTAACAATCAACAAACATCCCACACCCTTCCTTCTCTCATGTTCTCCCTTTACATTTGCCAATGACCATTACATGTGTTTGTATTAACCTTCTACACCATAACATCAGTATGCGTATTCTCCATACTGTTCTCTGTACATTTCCAAAGGTGCTTATTCTTATGACCTCCATGTGAAATTAAGAGGTGATATTATAAGGAGAAGTTAGATGCTAGTCAATCTTAGGGGCTAAAGGGTTGATTCTTATCAATCCTCCTTGTTGGAAAGGGGACTTTAGGGAAGGTTTTTATTTTTTTTTTGTCTGCAATAAACGACAACACTTCAATCATACACTCTAAGATATTAATGTCATCAGAGTCAAAGTATTCGTATGTTCTTTTTTGTCAAGGTTTAAGATCAAGAGTTTCTGCTTTGCTAACTCAGTTGAATTTGTGAGCTTTAAGACGTATACAATCAACTATACAGCCACGTGTAGACAGTATTCCCCAGCTTCTTGCTGATTGGTGTTCCAAAACATTGAATGTAGCCTTTCTTCAGTTCCTCACAGGCCATGAATTACAGTGCTCCGTGTGATACGCCAAAAATACTTGGAACGTAAATGTGGTCAGGTAAAGTAAAATGATATGAGAAAACTCAGGTTAATCACTTGAATTTAAATTAGAATTTCCTGTCTGCATGGCAATACAAAGAAAATGTGAAGGAAAATTAATATCACGATCAATCTTGGGAAATAAAGAATTAAGTGAGCTATACATTTTGAGAGGAAGGTTGCAGCTCAAAATCCTTCATATAGGAACTCGTGGCTGCCAATTTCATAGCTTTGTGTGCAATTACCATTGACTATAGAGTATATCATCATTTTGTGATCGCAGCCACTCCCCGTAAATGTCCTTTATCTGTGTCGTTGTATCTTTCCATGTAGCAGTTATATGCCATTATTGAGCTATGCCAAGTTAGCGAGGCCTTAACCCCTTAACTCCCAGAAGCGGTTTACACTTAACTTCTAGTTGTAACATTCATACATTATCCAACAAACAGGTAATGATAATACTCAAACTTATCAGGTAGAACTTGTTATTTTGATTACACCAAATTTTCCAAACTAATTTACATAGGAATGTGTAGCCACTAGAGGGGAGAATTAACAATTAAATCTTAAGAGTTAAAGGGTTTAATTAGGCTGAATTAGATTTGCATGGTCGCTGACTCTAAGACTTTGTTTTGTTTTTACTCTTTCCCTCCCTTTTTCTCTTTTTGGTTGTTCCCCTCCTTTTTTTAGCTGGTTTAAAAACCACTGTTGGCTTTG